GCCTGCTTTATCGCAGTGATCACGTGGCGCTCCAAGCTCTCAAAAGAGACGGGTCTGGCTCGCCAAGCGAGCAAACCGCTTCAACCAATCCTACAATTTGGTCGCCAACTGGCACGTGTCATACCCTCTGGCGGCTCCTCGTTGGGGTGCTGCAGTACCACGCCTGCTACATCGCGATGGACATGGGGCCCGCAAAAGAAAGGAGCCAGCATGGCAAATCAGCAAACCGCTTTCGACATCCCGACACGCAAATCTGGGCGCAAAAAGGCACGTGTCATACCTCCTGGCGGTTCTTCCTTGGGATGTCTTGACCCGTCTGCTATATCGCGGTGACCACTGGGCTCTTGGAAGGAAGGGTTCTGGGGGGAAAACGCAGCAAGCCGCTTGGCATCCCCGCAATTTGACCGCGAGCGGGCAAGCGTCATACCCCTTGGCGGCTCACCCTGGAGGGTGCCACATACCACGCCGGTGACTTCGCGGTGATCCTGAGACTTTCAACAAAACGAACGGGGTCTGGGGGGAAAAAGCAGCACATACATCCTTGCAGTCTCACCGCGAACGTGCAAGTGTCACGTATACCCCCTTATGGCGGCTCCTCCTTGGGGTGCTCAAGTGGCACGGTGGCTACATCGCGATGAGCGTAGGGTTCTGAAAAGCGAGGAGCTTGGTGGGCAAGAACAGCACACCGCTTGAGATATCTCCACAATGCCCGCGCGAACGGACACGTGTCATACCTCCTGGCGGTTCTTCCCTGGATTGCCCAAATGTCACACTTGCCATATCGCGGTGACCATGAGGCTCTGAAAAGGCAGAAGTCTGGGGGACGACACACAGCAAACCGCTTCCCCGCAATCCGACTGCGAACGGGCAAGTGTCATACTTCCTGGCGTCTATTCCTTGGTGTGTTCCAACGCTACGCCTGCTACATCGGTCTGTGTGTAAAAGGGGTGTACGCGTGTGTGCGTGTGTGTGTGTGCCAATGAATGAATCAATGAGTGAATCTGAGTGTGAGTGATTGAGTGTGAGTGAGTCTGCGTGTGGACGAGTCTGCGTCTGAGCGAGCCTGAGCACGAGTGAGTCTGTGTGCAAGGAAGTCTGAGTGCGAGGAACGGCATGAACATCATTTCTCGGCGGACCTCCGAGAAATTCTAGACGCTTCTGTGTTCCCCCTGTCGGTCTGCAGCCAGCACGTTGGACTGTTTACGCAGCCCCGCGCTTCGCCGCTCCCGTGGCGCGCCGACCTCTGGCGCCTGGAGGCGACAAGGTCCAATTCACTCATCCTGGTGGTCACGCCCCCGGGGTACCCGCATGCCTGCACAGCTTCCTGGCAGCCCCAGCAGCTCTTGCAGCCCCCGCCCACGGCGCTGGCGCGTTTCCCTCGGCGGTTGCAGCCCCTGCTCTCGGCGCAGAAACTGCCCTGGCGGTAGGTCCTCCTGATGCTTGCGCGCGCGCTAGGCAATTAGTTCTGCTCGTAGCCCGAGCCGACTTGAGACGCCGCTGGCGCCTTCGCCTGCGGTTGCGGCAAAAAAGTAACCCCACCAGCTCGCTGGATAATTAGGTTCCGCCCGTAGCCCGGTTCGACCCTTGACGCCGCCTGCGCCTTCGTTTGCGGCTGCGACAAAAAAGTAGCCCCACCAGCCCATCCAGAAACGATGCCCAGAGGAATTGCCTCGATCAGGGAACTGGGCAGCACACAGACGAAGGGTCCCCCAGTGGAGGCCTCTTGGAGCGTCTTGGGGGCCTCTTGGCGGTCCCGGACGCCTCTTAGCGGGTCTTGGGTGCCTCGCAGAGCTTCTTGGGGCCTCTTGGGGGTCCCTTGGGAGCCTCTTGGAGGCCTCTTGGGCGCCTATTGGGGCCTCCTGGGGCCTCCTGGGCTGGGCGCCTCTTGGGGCCCTCTTGAAGCGCTCTTGGGAGCCTTGGGAGCCCTCTTGGAGCCCTCTTGGGCCATCTTGGAGCCATCTTGAGGCCTCGGCGAGAAAGCCAAAAACATGGATGATCCGAAGGTTTTGGAAGGATTTGGGCCTCTTCGGGGCCTCCTGGGGGAGCTCTTTGGCCATTTGGAGCCGTCTTGGAGCGGTCTTGGGGCTCCTTGGAGCATCGTGGGAGCCATCTTGAGGCATCTTGGGATATTTTGAGCCATCTTGGAGATCATCATGGGCTCTCCCAGGCGCTCTTGGCCTCATCTGAAGCAGTGCCCCCCCCCCAGGAGGCCAACATGTGGCCAAAACCCTAGTAGAATCAATGATTTTGGCATTGTCGCCAAGGCCTCTTGGAGCGTCTTGGGTGCCTCTGGAGGTCTCTTGGGGCCTCTTGGGGCCTCTTGGGGGTCTCTTGGGAGACTCTTGGGGGCATGCTGGGGGCCTCTTGGGAGCCTCTTGGGGCCTTCTGGCCACCTCTTGGGGCCCTCTTTGGGCACCCTTGGGAGCCTTGGGAGCGCTCGTGGGGCCATCTCGGAGGAGATCGATCAACGAAGGGCGCCGCCCCCCCAAGAGGCCAATATAGGGCCCAAATCCTAGTAAAACCAATGATTTTGGCTTCCTCGCCGAGGCCGTTTTGGACGCCCTGACCGCTCGCGGGAGCCCCGTCCAAGTCCAGGGGAGGGGGTAGGGGGAAGGGTAAACCCCTCCCCGAAGGGGAAGAAGGGAGGTGGAAGAGGAAACGCTCTAGACTACCAACGCCCAGAGGGCTGGTTGGATTACCCGTCGGTCGTTGAAATTTTGTATTTTCGGGCTCCCAGATCCCAATCTACTTTGGGCGCCTTCCTACTTGAAGAGTCGAGGTTTTACCTCTCCCCTCCTCGTCAGGGGGCGGGCGGAAGCCCAATCTGCTCCTAACGCCTTCCTGCTTCACCTTCTCACCTGCTGCTTCCGACCGACGTGAACGCCTGTGGCGCGCTCTCTGCTCTCCCGCATGTGGGAGCCGGCCGCGCGCCAGCGGCCCTCGGCCAGCTCGCCCGGCGCCCGGAGAGGCGCGGGGCCGGCCGCTCCCGGGCCGCCCCAGCTTTGCCTCGAGACCGGGCGCGGGCGCAGCCCTCTCGCGCGCGCGCTGGGCGGGGGGGGAAGGGGGCTCTCCGAGGCAGGCGGTTCGCCCCGCTTCGGGTCTTCGGTGGGAGGCGGTCGCAGGAGAGCCAGCGGCGCAAACGGGAAGCTTCCGGCGGTCCCCCCCCTCACTTTTACGGGATCTGCGGGCCCAGTTTTCTCCACGCTGGCTTCGCGGATGCGTCGCAGACGTCGCCGATGCATCTTCTGTCACTATCTATTCGGACCCCATTTTCGAGGCCTCTAGCTTTTGGTCCTCGGCCGGAGGACATCGAAGAAACAACAGCGTAAACAAACATCCGGCGGCCCCCGCTGTTTCCTGGATCTGCGTTGGACCCCTTCGGTTGCCCTTCTGGCGCTCTACCTGGCGCGCGCCCTTTGGCCCAGCTCGTATCCAAGAAGTCCGCATGGATCTCCGACAGTTTATGTTTATGCAGTCTTTTCTGTGCCTCTATACGACCTAGGACACGCTCGTTTTGCTTCTGGAGGCTTCGGAAACCTCACGAAACCTTTCACGTGGACCTCGGATCTCCGGGGACACATGGGGGAGCCGGCGAGCCCCAGGGACTTGGGGAGATCTCTTGTTCGCGCCCCCCACGCCTATATTGAGACGAGTTTGCAACTACCCTGGCAGACTCCAGCCGCCTCCTCCATCCGCCGTGGCCCCCCCCTTCGGAATCCGCGGATGCCTTGTGCTGCTCATGGCGTCAAAGAAGTTTGGTCACAAACGCGGCGTGATTCTGGGCGCAAGACGCGTCGAGCAGCTTCCCCAGAGGTCTCACTGCTCCAGTGTTGTCCTTTCGTGGAGAGGCGCCGCTCAGCGACTGGGACGTTCTGGGCGCAAGACGCGTCAGCCTCCATCTTCTGGGAGGTGCCGCTGGCCACCGCTGGCTCCCAGCCAGTGGCAGCTGGGTGATGTGCAGCAGGCTGCGAGGCTGCGCTCGCGCCACGCTCGCCGAGGAATTCTGCCGGTTTCGAATCGAGCGAGTTACAGAGGTGGCGCGCATCAAGAAACCATATGCGTTTCGTCAGGGTACCCTTGGTTTCTTCGCTCCGAGCGTGGCGCGGCGACTTCCCGCGGCCGTTGAAGGAGCTGCTGCGTTCAGAGTGCTCCAGGTTTCCCCTCCGGTGCACTTCACTCGCGGGTGTTCAGGGTTGGGTTTCTTGCGAGGGTTTCTTGCGGCCGCGCCCGCACTGGGGTTGAAGGGGGTTGAGACACCGGTTCCACAAAGACTGGTTCAACAAAGAATTGGTTCATCGGAGACACTTTGAAGACAGATATTTGGGTGGGTTGCGTGCGTAGCTGTATTGGTTGTAGCCGCGCGCGTTTAGTATGAATGCGTTATCTGTACTGTCAGACGCGGGTGATTCATTTCAGGGAGAGCAGGCTCGCCCTGCGGCCCCGATCATGGATTCTTGCAGCCTGGATGAGATCCTTAAGGATTTCACTATCTTTGCAGATACGGAACGATCTTCGGAGTTCACGGCTTTGGATTTTGGGAGGTTGCGAGCAGCGCTGAATACCGTGCAGATCCCACCGCCTGCGGATGTGACAGTGGGGGCCTTCCCAGCAGGACCTTGTGCAGACGAGGCGGCTGTTACGACGGAGGGGGTTGACGACGACGGGGCTTATGTATGTGAGGTGCGGGCGGACGATGGGGAACTATGTGGGGCTCGTTTCTCTACCCAGACCTCCCTCCTCAAACACATGACCCAACAACACCACCTCCACAATCTTGCGCATGTGATGACACCGACGAATATCTGCATTGGGTGCCGACAGGTGTTTAAGACCCGCATCGCGGCTGCACGTCATCTGGAGGCGGCGATCAGGCGAGGGCGATGTGACAAAGGAGCCCTGGGGGCCACACCGCGGAGCAATGAGACCCTTCGGGAGCCCCAGTCCTTGCAGTGCCCGATGTGCTGTGCGGTCATGAAGCTGGGGATCTCCCCGCTCACTGTAGCCATCTCCTCAGCCATCTTCCGACGACGTTGAAGCAGGCGCCAGCGACGCACCTAACCCGAGCCTTCGGAACTGATGTCGTTGGCGATGCCGTCGTGGTCCAGACCCCCGGGGGCAGGCAGCAACACGGGGCCGGCAGGAGGCGAGGGAAACGTCGCCAAGAAGGGCAAGAAGGGCGAGAAGGACGAACTCATGAAGCTTCTGACGGCCATCGGGCGCTTGGTGCTGGCGCAGGCTCGAGCGGTTGCCGACTTGGCGGCAGTGGTATACGTGACCTTCATGATGCCTCTTTCGGGGGGGCTTCCCGCCGCCATGCAGGCGGCGGGCAATAAATACGAGAACGAGAGCAAGTCCATGAAGGAGTCAGGCGCCTCGCAGGAGCAGTACAAGAAACGAGGCCCTCCGCACATTCACGTGTTCGTGGCGGCGTTCCAGTACGTGGCGGAGCGCACGGCGGCGGAGGGGCAGGAGAAAGAGAAGACCAACGCGCTCGAGGCCAAGGAGGCGTGGACCAACAACATCGCCTCGAGCGGCATGGAGGACATCGCGGAGGCGGTGCTCTACTTCAGGCTGAAGGTGCTGCGCAAGGAGGAGGGCCAGGAGCAGCAGTGCCTGGTGATCACGAACTTCAACAAGGAGTCGAAGTTGGCCCTGGCTTGCCGCCCGCACATCAGGAATGTGATCCAGTACGAGGGCGGGACGGCAGTGCACGGCTCGGCACCCAGGGGCCCGCTCGAGAGGGAGATCGCGAAGATGGTGAACCACGCGAAGTAGCTCATTCCGCTCTGGCGCCTCGTGTCGGAGGCATTGACAGGAGACGGGGGCAATTTTTTTGCAGCTCTCAGAGACTGGCGGAGTTGGAAGCTCGAGGCAGCATCAGTGCAGAGACCGCGGCTATGGCTCGATCTGGGGCCGTGCTGGTAAGTAGCCACGCTGACGAAGATCTGCCTGTCCACCCGCTGGTCTACCTTCCTGGCCACGGCCGGGGCGCGCCGAGCAGACGTGGCGGGCGCGGACGTCGTGACGGCGGGCGAGGCTCTCGCGCCTGAGTGGGCGCCCCCCGTAGGGTTGCGTGCCTTAGGGGGGCTGCTCGCGGGCCTGCGCCCCGAAGGGGAGCGCAGGCAGGGCATGCAGAGTCGTTGATTTTTTCCTCCGCGTTGGGATGCAAGGTCCCGTCTCAGAATCCAAGCCTGTCTGCAATGGAGTCACGACACGAGTTCGGCGTAGTGGCACTGTAGATGCAGGATGATTGTGGATTCCTCGAGGTTCGCTCGCTCGCTCGCTCGCCCCCCTTGCTCCCCCCCATCGCTCGCCGCCGAGACACGCGTTGGGCTGGCCCACGCCCCGAGGACCTTCGGCCCTGGGGGTGGCCCGAGACCTCGGGCGACCCGAGACCTCCTCGCCATCGCTGGGAGCACCGAGCGGGACCTCTCCCGCTCGGTGCTCCGAGCTTCTAAATCCGAAGAACAAGGAAACAAACAACATAAGCATAAAACATAACCGTAATGTCATAATAAACAAACCACCTAAGCATAGCCATAACCATAATGTAATAATAGCCACACCGCGTAAACATAAGCACACACATAAGATACTACTAAACAAACCACACAAACTTAAACATAACATAATAGCACACAAAACACATAAACATAACCATGCACAAAAGATAATAAGAAACAGACCACATAAACAAAAACTGTTGACGCTCCGCGCGGATTTTTCGGATCCGCGCTGGCCCCCCTGGCGGCGCCTCCGGCGCCGCCCCTGGCGGGCTCCGCGCGCCAGGGAGGGGGGTCAGCTGCGGGTCCAATAAATCCGCGCGGAGCGCCAAAAGTTTATGCTTATGTGGTTTTTCTTATGTTAATAAGCGTCGGGGCGGCGCCACCTTTGGCGACAGCCCCGCGTCGACCCCCGTCGCGGGCAGCCACCGCGCGCCAAAGGCGCTCCGACCCCCGTTGTGGCGCCACGACGAGGCGAGATCGACCCCTGTCGGCGGGGGCACCCCCGCGCTTATCAAGAAACCCAAAGTAGCCTCTTGGGCTGCGGCCGCGTGGCGATTCGGGAGCGGAGCTCTGCGGAGTTCTGGTGGCGGTGGCGGCGCTTTCTGCTGGTCGCGCACGAGGATCTGGGAGTCGTCGTCGGTCCGACGCCCACCGGGCCCCTCCAGGACCCGCCCGCCCGCCCCGGTGGTTGCCCGCCCGCGCCCGCCCGCGCCTGCCCGTCAGGGTCCGCCCACCCGACAGCTTTGGCGCGCGCCGCCGCCCCGCCCACCTCTTTGGCTTGGCGCCAGCGCGCCTGCCCGTCAGCTGGCCACGCGCACAGGGGGGCAAGGGCAGGGGGGAGGTTTCTTGGAAGCACCACCGATTCTAAGGAACTGCCCCCCCTCCCCCTAACCCCCTCTTGCGCGCCGCCAAGTCAGGGTCAACCAGCGCCCGCGCGCCCGTCAACTGGGGCTCGCTGTCGTCGTCTTCGTAGTCGTCGTCGCACAATGGGGACGCGCATCGGGGAAACCAGATGCTGTTCGTCAGGGTGCCCTGGGTTTCTTCGCTGCGAGGTGACTTCCCGCGGGCGTTCAGGGACAGCTGCGTTCCTGGTGCCGTGGGTTTCCCCGCAATGGCGCTTCGCGCGCGAACATTCAGGGCCGGGTTTCTTGCGATGGTTTCTTGCGGCCGCATCCGCACTGTAGTCGTCCTCGTCGCCTTCGTTGTCCCCGTTCTGATCTCCGACATTGCCATCGTTTTGCTTGACATGCTCGTCGTAGGCACCCTCGTCCTCCTGCTCCTCACCCGGCTCGTTGTTGTCGTCGATGGCGACGCCGTCTTTGTCGCCCTCATCTTGTGAGAGTGTCCGCCCGCCCGCTTTAGAACCCGCCCGCGCGCATTTTGCAAGCAGGGCCCCCCCGCCCGCCCAGCCGCTTTCTGGGCCCGCCCGCGCCTGCCCGCCACCAGCCGCAAGGGCCCGCCCGCCTGTCCGTTTCAGACCGCGAGCACGCCCAGGTCACGTCATCGACCTGGGGGCGGGAGTGGCGATGTCATGAGCGGTGGGCGCTGGGTTAGACGAGGAACGATCATGAGAGAAGTGACGGGGCTGAACTTGGCCGTCCAGCAGTGGGCGCGCGTTCGCACAACAAAAACGCTTGGGTGGCTTCGAAATTGCTATGGGACCCAAGAGCTGCCCATGTGCGTCGCAAGCGTGCTTTGCAATGCTTGCGTTTGATGCTCATTTTCGTCTTGTCGTTCACACAGTTGCAGCAAGTTGCCGCGACACCTTGCAGGAACTGTTATTTGAGCAGAGTCCTGGGCATAAAGTGGAAAAGGGGGCGCGGCGGGTAGGCATCAGAAGATCTGCGGTGGTGGGGTGCGAAGCTCAATGCCATTGGGGGACAGCGGCTTGCGGCATGGACGCCGACACGCGCATTGTCAGATATCCTCTTGTCCTCCCGATGCTACTTATGTTCCCTTCGCCCCTCAAGTTCCACATGCACCCGCGCCTTCCACAACAGTGTCAATAAGTTCCCGCGGAGTCACGCAAGCGAAACATGAAGCACTGAATCCAAAAAGTGAGAACAGGGGAAAAGCGGGCCGTCCTCGTCTTTTTCCCCAGATCGGGTTCACGGGCTGCCCCTCCTCCCTGCTATGCTCTCCAAGCCTCCCAGATTGGGCGGGAGGAGATGAGGCCGGCGGGTGGCGCCGCATGCAGCGCTCAGGCGACCGCCGCCAGGCATCCGCCGCGCGCTTGGGCTTCGGGCGACTGGCGCTCACGCGACCGCTTCAGGGTTCCCAGCCCGAAGGCCGGCCAGCCCCGCCGCGCGCAGGGCCATCTTTGTCGCCGTGGCAGCGTCGTTTGTCGCTCAGTCTCAGGTCGACACCCTCATCGTTCAGACCTTCTTCACCCTCTCAGCCCTGCGGCGCATCAGCTACCAGCTCGGGGAGATGCAAGTGCTAGATGGAGTCCATCTCGTAACGCTCAGTCCTTGCGAGCGTCGCGGTTTGCCCCCGAGGGGTCGGGCATGTCCAGATTCCGGGCGGCCCCAGCGCCCTGCGAGGAAGCAGCCAATCCTTTGTTCACCGATTCGACGCCCCAGTTCAGACAGGGCAGCGCCTGCCGGTTGCGGCTAGCTGCGCGGTCTTGGCCGCGCGCTGTTTCTGGCTAGCTCGATGGGGGGACAATGGCATGGCAGTGTTGTTCATGTCCTGCGTTTGCCCAAGTCATCAGGCCCGCCCGCGCCCCCCCCCGCGCCCCTCCGAATAACTTGACCTTGTCGGTTGCGCAGGTCCGATGGGGGCACGCGTTGCTGGCGCGCGCGGGCGTGCGCAGGGCTGCCCGAAGCGATTCTGCTGGGCCATCGGCAGGCGCTTCCCACCCCCCGCCCAGCATGGCCGGGGGCGTCGAAAAAAAATAACATAACGGTCTCCACCAGATTACGTCGGTGGCGGAATCCGAAACCGACCTTCGCCGATGAACGATTCAGGCAACTCGATGGGCGGCGGGGGTAGAGTTCGGTCGAAAACTTGGCGCAAAACTTCACCCCCGCCCCCCGTTGATTTGGAGAGCTCGCTGGTTTGCGGGTGGGGGTTCGGACGTCGCTAACTAGCGTTGGCGGTTTTGGCCAGCTCGGGCCCCGACGCGCCGACATCGGCGCGCGACTTGCCCGCGCGCAGGTCCCGCGCAGGCGCCCTCGTCTCTAGCGCGGCGGGCCGCGGCAGCGGCCCGCGTAAGTCTCGGCCTCGGGGGCGGGGTTCGGATGTCGACGCCGAGTGAGCTTTCGGGGTCCCGCGCGAGTTTGTCGGGCCGGCGCCGGAGCCCCCCGGCGGCGCGCTGGCGCGCCTTCTCCGCGCGCATGGGGGGAAGGGCCCCTCGCCGATTTCGGGCACCCGCGCGGGCCTTCGACTTGTCATCGCCAGAACGAGGAGGCGGAGGATGATGAGGAAGAGGAGAATGGAGGGACGAAGAGATACCGATGCCGCTATCCGTCTTCGGCCGCGCGCAGAGGGAGGCCGGGGGGGCGCAGGCGCCCTTGTTTCTTCGACGGCGCGGACATCCTGCGCAGATGTAAGATTAGCGCATTCTGAGAAGCAGCTTCCTTTGAAACAAGAAGCCCCCCCGCTCCTTCGCGCGCGCCTCCGAGAAGGAGTGCGGGGGGGGGGGGGGGGGGCAGGGCGGCGACGGGGGGGGGGTCAGGGGGTGGAGAGACCGACGCCGCTTCCCGCCCCTCGCTGCCGCGGCTCGATTTGCCCCGGAGCCCCGACCGGAAAGCGTCTCTGGAAATGTCCGATGGCAACGGCATGGACATCATTCCCCCCCCCTGAGGAAGCGGCGCTGCGGGGCAAGAGCGCAGAGGGGGCGGGGGCGGAGGGGGCGGGGTCAAGACCTCCGCCGCGAACCCCCCCAGCGACTAGCCCTTAGTGCGCCAGCGCGGGGGCGGCGGGCGGCGAGCTGGCGCGTCTGCCCGCGCGAAGCGCTCCTCGCCCCAGCACTGTCCTGGTTGCGCGCTGGCGTTTTTCGATTTAGAGGCGCTCCTGGCCCCGCCGCCTTGATACGCGGAGTTGCTTCGTTCACGTCGGGGCGGCCTCGGCTCTCGCAGCGCCCTCGCCGAGGCCGGCCGCGCGCGGGGGGGGGCAGCGGTGGGGCGGCCTCTCAGGAGCGCCCCGGCTTCTTGGAAGGCGCGGGCCTTCTCTGCAGATGCAGGGCCAGCGCCTTCTGAGCAGCCGCCCCCCCCCCAAAGAAGCCCCCCCCCCCAGGGCGCCCCCCTGCGCGCGCCGCCTAGTTGGGCGCGTTCTGGGAAGACCCGCCCCGCGCTGAGTTCCGCGAGCTTATTGAATGGCCTTCGGCCCATCTCGCACCCGCGCCTGGGCTGCGCGTGCGAAGCATATGGGATGTTCGCCGGGGTCTCGCAGGAGGTCTTTCCGGGGCCTCCTGGAGGCGGTCTCGAGGCCTCCTGGGGGCATTTTGATTTTTTTCGTGGCTTGATTTACGCTTCTTGGGTGCCTCTAGTAAAACCGGCGCCAGGAACGATAATTGACCGCCCCGCCCCCCCGCGGCTTTTTGGAGACATGAGATGCTTCATGTGTTCGTCGTCGCGCGAGGGTCGACGACGGCCGCTGAATGTTCGGCCCCCAGTTGTGGACTTGAGCGACCCTGGGGATATGACGCAGTTGGATTTACGGCAGCCTGCCCGACAGCGGGAAACCCAAACATTTGCATCATGTTGAGTTTGATCTTCTCGTCGTTGATCTCGTTGGCGTCGAGGCGCAACGCGATATAACCCAGGCAATCCACCCCTTGCCTGGGCCAAGCAGCAAGGCT